TGCCCTGGCTGGAGCTGATGCTAACCCCCACCATTAAAAAAAAACAAAAAGTCAAAAGAAAAACTACACCAAGTCCCAATAAGTTTCAGGCATTCTGAGATCTGTGTCTAACCCCATGCCATGTGGCTGCTTTCACAGAGGCTTAAGGCCTCAGCAAACTTCTTGAAAAACAAAATTCTCGAGGGTTGTGTGAAGCCGAAAGCTCCTTCGTGAGCTTACTTTCTATGGTTTCGTTTGCCTGTCGCAGATGCTCCACGTGACGCTATGACATTTAATGATAGTTTCATGACTGCTGGAAAACGATTCTTTCACTGTTCTAACTATGGTGACATGCAAGTTCAGAATACCGCCACCGCTTAAGGTGGAGCGGGAAAATTCAAACAAGAAGCTGATGAATAGAAAGCCAACTTCAGCCTCATCCTCTTGTGAACCTAAATATAAGATAACCTGTATGTTTTGGTGTTTAGTACTAGTTAGTACTATCGAATAACAGACTTAACATCTTACATTTAGGAGATATCCATTGTTTATTTAACAAATGCGCATTTCACAGTGAAGTATTAGTGTATCTGCCAAAACTGAAACTCCTCAAAGTTTTCCATCTTTGTTTAATGGCACGCCTTTTTTTTTACCTACCATTTAGAGGCTTTGTTGCGTAGTGTCTTCATCCGAGGAGTTCGCCCAGCTGCCATCTGCCAGACACGGCAAACAAACCCTCTGCGCGAGTTACTGTAATGCATTAGTTTTACAAGAAATAGCTGTTTTTAAGGATAACGTGATAATAAAATGGCTGTTAATTTACAGATGCAATTTGTTTTAGAGTAAAGAGCTACTAACAGATAATACTGTTCAAAACTGGCTGTTAATTTACAGCGATTTTTTACAGTGTGGAGCTTCTAGCAGCCATTCTGAGCTCTGCAATATAAGTACAAATCTTCACCCAACCACACACAGAGAAAACCACCACTGTTGCCTCTGCCTGGTTTACATTTCAGCAGACAGCACACCATGAACACAATTTCTTTGCCCTCGTCATGCTGGTGACATCATCCAGTCCTGGGATCTTCGGAAAAGTCCACTCCCTCCTTCTATGCAGTTCTGCATCCCCCCAGGCAATGCCTGCCTAAAAAGAATTTCTCCCCCAATCAAAGCCAGTGTCAGTCAGTTCTGTTATCAGTACCAATCATGGACACCAAAGGAGTCCTGATGGTCGTTACATCATAATTTTTCAAAAGGAAAACATCCTAATAATTAAGTACATCCTAACACCCACCCTCCCCCAACCAAATCAGTCGCCATCCGGGCCACTACTCTTGCTACCTCGCAGACTGGAGTCCCAGATTTGCCCTTTTTGACCATCAAGGCCCTAGGGTGATTTCTCTCTACTGGCCACACCACCTCTGAGTTCTAAGCTGGCTGTGTGTGCCCTTGCCAAGGAGTTGTAGTACCCAGTAGGCCCTACAGTACCCTGCTAATTACCATGGTCATCTGCCAACTTACCTACATCGCTGTGAGGCTTTACCTCATGATTTTTGCCGACTACTTACACATAAAGGTGATTCCGTTGAATTGTGTGGATGGGTCCCTCTTGTCCCTCTGGCCAAATTGCATGCACAGGATGATCTGGGAAATGTTGGGCAAGGACTTACATAGGGCTGTGGATCCCACTCCCATTTCCCCTTGGCTTGGTGGTGTAAATTCCTCACAAGGACTTTCTCTCCTGGCAACACAGGTACATGGCAAGCCGCCTGGTTCCACTTTTTTAAGTTTAAGTTCAAGAGGCTTTATTGTCATGTCAGCTATATACAAGTACACAGTGAAGTGAAACAACAGTCCTCCAGGACCATGGTGCAACACAGGAACACCACATTGAAAACAGCACAATATGCACAGTGCAGACAATACAGTGCAATAAATACAAAACAGGGCAAAGACAGTACACGGTACTGAGAATATGTAGAGTTGTACGAAGCAGGATCTAACATACTATGACATATTAGCAGATAGCTTAGCATATATGAACATAGCAGTCACATAGCAACCAGAACAACAGTAATGGAGTATAGTATTTGTAATGTAATGTAATGTATTCCTACATCCTGATCTACTGGCAAGACGGGCATGGCATAACGAAACGAGAACCGCTATGTGGTATTTTTTAGTAATGCATGTCTTGCAGGTGTTCATTCAGCCACACCTGTTCCCTATGGTCTATGCACCATTTCTCTCTGGGTTTTAGGAGTAGTCCTGACTTTGCAAGATGCACTACTACCAGAATATGCTGGCAGTAATCACCAGGTCATCCCAAGGACAAATAATCTATGTCCAAAGTCTCTCAGAAATAGCTGCTGGTGAAGGAGCATGGTGAAGGGTCTGGTCAGCCACCATATATTACACAGGCAATACATTCCCATGCCCATATTCTGTTAGCCCTGCTCATGCAAGCCCAAAACAGCCTTCCTCAGAATGCTTGCAACAGGCATCTCCCCTTGGTATGTCACAACACCTCACAGTAAGCAAGGCCCACCTCTTTACTATAGGCACCACCACAGCTATGCCTTTGTGTGCCCTGGCCATTGGTTCTCTCCTCAGCAGCACTCTGTGCCACACCTCCAGCTGCTCCTAATTAGGAAGCAGGTGTCAACCAGATCATAAAGGACATGTTGCTCAGACAGTGGTGGTCCCATCCATGTTCCCTCCACTGTCACAGCTGAAGCAGTTCTGGATCCTGGTTTTGTTGCTCTGCCCATTTTTCACCTTCCTCAACTTCTGCCTCCACCACACGTATTTAAATTTCATCTTCAAATTTCTCAGAGCCCTCCCACTCCAAAGCCAGCAGCTCTAATTTGAAGGCACTGTAGTCAGCATCATTCCTTTCTGCATCATATAGGCCCATGCTAGCATAAGCTATGACTCTTAATCTCCCCTCCTGCAAGTATTGCACCAAGTCCTGCATTGTCTAATTAATATTTTAAAAAAATGAATACTTTTCTGAAAAAATGAACAAAAAAGCTTGTAATAAGAAACATATGTTCATTTTTACCTTAATATTTCTCCCATTCTTTAATATCACCAATCCATCCTAGCTTTCTATTTATACAAGCACTGACATATCCACAAAAAACTGACTTTCAGTTTACTCTCAATTTAGGAGCAAGGCAGTGATTGGTGACAGAAAAGTGTATATTGCTTATTCTCCTCCAATAGGGGTTACTAGTGCCAGGGGCAGAGCTTGAGGCTTTATGGGCGATCTTTGGTCTTGGCATGTGCAGACATATCCCTGCAAGGTCAAACATGGCTGTCTTGCCTTGATCAGCCATTTTCTACACTAAGACTGTGCGTTGTGGTCCAGCGTGCTGTACAATCATCACTTTCTTTTTTATGTCACTTAGCTTGTTCCTGGTAAATTCCTCGCAGGTAAATGGCAGGAGGAAATTCAAGCTACAGCACTGGCCTACATTTGGTGTGCAGGTTTTCACCACTTTATAAAAAGCACCTGACTTGGCAACACCTTCTTGTAACCAGTGGCTATTCCTGCGACCAGCCATAATGGCTGGGTCTGTGTTAGTGTTGTCTAAACCAGTTTCTGATACTTCTCATGTCTGAGAAGCTTCCATTTGATGTTTGAGTGCTAGTTGTGAGTTGCAATTGTATAAGGCTCTGATAGGTGTCCTTCAACACAGAGTGTCCCTATGATAGCAGTAAAATAACTCAGTCTGCCAGTGTTTTCAGACAGTAATTCCAAAATTTCACTAGATTTAAAGGAAATGAGACACTGCATTAATTCACATTTCAAACTTAAATTGGTTTACTTTTAAATCCAATGTGATTTCAGCTCTGACCAGAAGGGCCAGTGCAGACAAATTGCTTCATTATTGCTGAAACAGCAGGAGGAATAGAAAAAATGTTTAACCTGAAAATATATATAACTTTCACTGTGAAAACATGTGAAAGAGTGATCCTGGAATTTTAGAAAGGGATCAGTTGGCGGCAGGAGTCTAGCTGTGGAACATAAAAGGAGGAGGAGAAAATGAGAGTGTAGCGATAGAACATCAGAAAGGGAATGGACAGTAGCTGTCTGGAGGTCTGTTAGCATGGTTTATAGCAATTAATGGTCAAAATGTTATATGTTTCTAAAAAAAAAAATATTGTTTTAGAAATCATTTACATTTCTATTAGACTGCAGTTTTGGAGCTCAACTCCGTTTGCCAATAACATTAACCAGTGGTATCAGAGCTCAGCTCCGGTGCATTGACTCCAAGGCTGAATTCGAAATGCATGTGTATTGGCATCAGTGATTTACTTTAAAGGACAGGAATTCTGTTTTATTTTTATCCTTTAACTTAGGAATTTGATGAGTCATAAATGTTTTGCTGTTTCACTCACGTTTATTTGATCACTTCCTATGTACATATACAGTAAACAAAGAAGAAATTAAACACAAAATGCATTAGAACTTTTTTTAAGCTGACTCAGAAAGAAGGTACCAGAGAGAATGAAGTTGGATTATTTATTAAAATATTCATTTATTTGTCTCAGTCCATTGATCAGTTTTTCAATAACAGTTTTGATAGTAATACAGTAGAGACAGCACACAAATTTTTCTAGCTACCTTCCTAATGTTATCTAACTAACTCACGCAAATTTGCTATCTAGCAAAGTATTAGTTGTCTAGTAGTTTACTACCTGGCTGATTTAGAATATCTGAATATTTATATGTTTTAAAAATCTGTCATATATTTATATCATATATTATCTTGGATAGAGTTTAAACATACAGTATTTGTAAACAAAACTTACATTACACTATCACATGATCAACAGATCAGGGGCTAAGAAGCAAGTCTGGATTTTTGTGGAATACATGGATTATCAAGGAATTAAATGTCTTTATTGCTGAAATATAAACAAAAATCACACATATGCATTGCAGGGTTATTATAACTTTTCCTCAGTCATGAGTTTAAATTTGTGCATTTCTTTTACCTTTTTGTCTTTAGCAGCTGCACTTACTACTGCAAGCCCTGGTTATGACCCGTGCAGTAACTATACAATTCTGAACCAGCCCTGGAGAGCTACTAATGAATCATGGAGTACTGCCTGTGATCGAGACTTTGAGTGGAATGGCTGGTATCGTCTTCTCTATTATGGGATGAACATCCGCATGCCAGAGGTCTGTAGTAGTGGATGTTCCACTGGTATTGCTCTCTGGCTAAATGGCGCACATCCTCAGATACAGGATGGAATAGTCACCCGTCAGATCTGTGGTAATAACGGAGGAACCTGCTGCTATAGTTACTACAGTACAACCTACATTCGAGTCAAAGCGTGCCCAGGAAACTTTTATGTCTATGAATTCATCAAGCCAGTCTCCTGTGATTCAGCCTACTGTGCAGGTATCATTTCAGACATTTCTCTTTGAATTATGGCCATTTTAGCATAATTCTTGAAATTCTTGTAATTAAAAAAATATTTTACTTCTTGCAGATATCACCACACTAACTCCAGCCAACTTCTCAACAACTGGAGTCATCACCACAGAAACCAATATAAGTATGTAGTTGTGACGATTTTTTAAAATAAATAATGTCATCAAGCTTTATTATAACAGTATAAATAAAGAAAAAATATAGCTCTTAAAATGAATGCCCCTAATTTCTGTGACTAATACCATTATAATTAAAATTTCTTAATCATTTCATATGTGCACATATTTGCTAAGAGCAGTTGGAAGTTGTTTCCAGTAAATGGGAGATTACGCTTGAAAAATCTAGCAAACATAAATTAGTTAATGGTTTATTCTGCCTGCTGCTGAGATGACAGCATATTATGGTACAGGGCATCAACTGTTTATGTTGTCATTACATCTCACTGACACATTGCATTCATTTATAAATATGTGCACAAACAGTGTCCCTAGTTAATAAACAGTACCGAGGCCAGCCATCTTGCACACACATATACATGAGGCACTTAAAATCAAGTATGCTTTGAAGTTCCGTGAAAATCTTTAGTTCATCATGATAATCACATGAGACAATTTAAGGGTAAACACAACAGTCGTAGGAAACATTTCATGAATTATGGCCAAACCTCTCACTAAAACACTCCTGTTTGTAGAAAATTACATTTACTGCTCTTATTGTTAAGGTTGCCACATTTCTTTGTTGGGTTCTGTTTCACAGCTACAGACTCCAGGTTTGACCCATGCTATAACTATACTGCCCTGGACAACTACTGGAGAAATACACGCACATCCTACAGAGGACATGATGACACCCTTGTAGAATGGAAGGGCTGGTATCGACTGTATCTTCAAGGACAAAGTGCTCAAATGTCTGAGTGGTGTGTGACTTATACAACATGTGGTGGTGTTATTCCACTGCTGCTCAGAGGTTCACATCCACAGACTGGAGATGGAATTGTGACTCGTGAAGTAACTGGATCTCACTCGTACTACTCATGCAATTACTACAAATCCAACTCAATTCAAGTCAAGGCTTGCCCAGGAAATTATTACGTCTATAAACTTGTTAAACCAGATATATCGATCCCTGTTCCTTCATACTGTGCAGGTACAGCAGAACTCCTCTTCACTACCTTAAATGTAATGTTTGTTTGTTCTACGATGATTAAATTATTATTCTAGACTAAATGCAGTTTGGATTAAAACCCTCTAGTATAAAGTTATTTGGGATTTGACTTGTATATCATGTGATTCCTTTACTAATATGTGAGACAAAGCTAAGCATCAAACATCACTACATGCTCAAAACTAAATTCAGTTTTCGATAAGTGAAGTGTATCAGTGATAACTGAAAAAGTAATAATTTATGTTTCAATTACAGTTTCTTTTAGCAACTCCAGTGTAGATCCCTGCTACAGCTATACTGCCCTGAATGATACTTGGAGAAGCAGCACTGGCTCAACCACAACTTCACAGTGTGATGCATATGTGAACTGGGTGGGCTGGTATCGGCTTTTCTATCAGGGACAAAGTGCCAAAATGCCAGAATCATGTGTCAATTTATACAGGTGTGGCACCACCTTCCCACTTTGGCTCAATGGCTCTCACCCAAATCTGCAAGATGGAGTGGTGATAAGGCAGATCTGTGGAAATGATGGCAGTGATTGCTGCTATTTCAAATCCTTACCAATTCAAGTAAAAGCTTGTCCAGGAAATTACTATGTGTACGAGTTTGTCAAGACAAGTTTCTGCAATGCAGCCTATTGTACAGGTAATGTACTGATATGATTGCATGAAAATAAATGTATTTATGCATAAGATAAATTCTTGATTTGTACATATTAATGTGATATTCTGTTTTGGCTAATTCAAAAATATGTTTTGTATATTGTGCACTTAGATTGAATGTGCAGTCAGCAAGTTACCTGCATACTTTAAAACAATATCATGACTACACTTTCCCAATTCTTTCACAGAATTTACAGTAAAATAATTCTTTAGTTTTTAGTTCTCTTGCGCTGCAAAGTAACCCTTGGCCAAACCTGTAAGGAGATTATTTATTTAAATAACTCCTCTATTACCGTTTTAAACATAAATTTTTCATTTCAGATACTAGCAACATAACTGTCACCAACGCACCAACAACTACCCCACAGGGTAAGAACTACTTTTTGTATTTGGTCACTAAAAATGCAGAATGTACTAAAGACACTTTAAAGTAAAACCTTTGGTTGTATTTTTGTGTGGTATAACGAAGCACAGTGCAGTGTAACAAAGATCTGCTTAGTGGTTTTACACAGATATACTGATAATTTGGATATTTTTTTTTTTTTCATTTTTATTTGGTTGCTGTTTTTGTTGATGGAGTCTCACATCCATGTGTTGAATGCTACACCCGTAGTTGAATGCTACACCCGTAGCATTCAACACTGGATTCTTCCATTTGGCTTTCTTTTCCACCAGCTCCAGATCCACTTAAAACCAAGCAGTCATTATTAGTGTTTTTTTGCAGGTGTACTGATCATTTGTTTGGACATGTTTTTTTTTTTATTATTTTTGGTTGCTGTTTTTGTCGGTGGAGTGTCACATCAAGGGTTGTAGCATTCAAAATTGGATTCTCCCATTTTGTAATGCAACAGAATCAAACAGACGTGTGCGGATGGAAAAGACTGATGAGGCTTTACTGGTTTGAAGAAGTTCCAAATTAGTTGTCACAAAACAGTCCAATGTCAAATCCAAAACAATACAAAACCAGAGAGTAATGCTTTTACCAAAGTCCAAGGGATCAGGCAGCAAGTCAGAAATGGACAAAACAGGCCAAAAGTCAAACACAGGAAATCAAACCAGTAATCGAAAGAACTGCTCAGTAGCTCTGAAAACAGATGAAATACCTCACAGAAAACCTAAACTAAAGCCTGGGCTTATAAAGCTAGCTAAACAGACCACATGATACACAGAACAGATGAAGAAACTCAGTAATCAGGCGAAGTTGATCTTGGATAGGTTGTGCATTTGGGGGAAGTGTCATGTGTTCTCTCCAGGGATTCTGGGACTTGGGAGTCCTTGCTGGAGGAATGTGTGACGGTACACCCTCCGACCACCCACCCTCCAAAGAGTCTGGGAAGGCCCTGGAACAAGACAGACTGCGGCACCCACCAGTGAGTCCACCCACAGCACAGGCTAGAGTATGCCCTGAGCTGCCGCGGGGCTGGAAGTCCTACGTTGACCATGTAGGCGACTCGGGAATGGTTCTTGAACAGCCCCCCTGGGACAACCCCTGGCACGAGGAGCAAGCTGGAATGTCACATCAAGGGGTGTGGCATTCAAAATTGGATTCTCCCATTTGGCTTTGTCCCCCACCAGTTCCAGATCCACTTCAACACCAATCAGTTATTATTTCACAGACATGAGGCTAGTTTAACTCATACATACCCTTCTGCCACTTTATTAGGAGAACCATTCTTAACCTAGGTAGAACCCCATTTGCTCTCAGAACAGCCTGACTTTTTTGTGGCATGGATTTTTATGACATTTGTGTGACTTACGTTTGTATCCATGTGTTTTATTGTTCAATTCATGTGATTAGCAAAAAAGAAGAGCTGATTAAATAGAATATATAGACACATTTTTATGCCTCCATCTGACCTTTGGTAATAGACCATCAGTTCACCTACCTGGCACACATAGATCCTCTGATCTACTTGCTTCAAGCTTGATCACATCTGGACAAAGTCAGAGCTACAGTCAGGATCACGTTCTTTAATTTTATAAGTGCCTTCAACACCATCCTCTCCAAGGCCTGCTCTGGCCTTTCGATTGTTCTAAGCACGATTTTTTTGGGGCCCACGTGTGTCTAGGCACTCCAAATGGCCACATGATAAACGATTTAAAATAAAACTGTAAATATAAATAAATAAATGTAAATATATTACACATGAAAAATCAAAATAGTGTAATGAAGGAATGTAAGTTTGGTACAGTTTAAATAGTCTGAAAAAGTGGCAGTCAAAATCAAAAAAGCAAATAACTACAAATTACAGGTAACCATCTCAGCTTTCACTTTCCAGATCCACTCTCTCTCGTTATCCAACTAAAAGCTTTTTCTCAACATCTTTTTCTTTTCTGCTTGTTATCACCAGATTTTTTTTGAGAAAAGATTAACCAGTCACTTTTTTGCCATCATTCGAGTATGTTCTACCCAAAAGGTGTTAGGGGGCTCTAAGAAGCTGCTTATGTTGCTTATGAGGCAGAGCTGGCTCTGATCCTGCCTTTCCAATTGAGAAATAAAGTCTTTCATTTCCTGTGGTGTTTCCTTTTCTCTTCACTCTCCACATTCCAGTGCAACCGTAGCTTATGTTCTCTGATGACTCTTTTATTTTTGGATTCATTCATGATGAAGATGAGTCAGAAACCAGGAGGATTGTTCTGCAGATACGGTCAGTAAAACAAAAGGACTGGTGATGTATTGCCAGCATGTTAGGGGCCTGTAAGCCTAGTTACTATCCAGGGGGAGGATGTAAAGATAAAGTCCTACAACAGGTGTTCTACCTAAATGACAGACCGGATGGCCAGCATTTTTTTCATGCTTTTGATGCAGCACCTCTGCACCAGACAGCAAACACATCGACAGTTTAAATCATTTTGTATCTTTGTCTTTTTCACTTAATGTATAAAGCCGACATTACAAATGTGACAACACCATTTCAGTTAAGATCCATTCTTTTATCCAGAATCAAAGCAGCAAGTTAACAAAAAGTTATTCCTGGAGGAATAGCAAAAGGCTCTGGTAGCTGTCCTGCAGCACTAGGTGACCTTATAATAGCAGTCAAATAACCCAGATAGCCAGTGTTTTCAGACAATAATCACAACATTTAACCAGATTTAAAAGAAAGAAGACACACCATTAATTCACATTTCAAACCTTTCAGTTGCTTTACTTGTAAAACAATGTGTTTTCCGCTCTGACCAGAAGAGTGCAGTGCAGACAAGTTACTTTAGAATGGCTGAAACACCTTGAAGCATCAAGAGGGATTGACAATGTATTTAAACTGAAAATATAAGTGTGCAATGTGAAAATAAAAGTGATCCTGGAATGTTCGAAAGGGAGCGTCTGATGGGAGGAGTGTAGCTGTGGAACATTAAAGGAGGACGAGAGAATAAGAGTGCAGCGGTAGAAGATTATTTATTTAAATAACTCCTCTATTACCTGTTTAACATAAAGTTTTTTCATTTCAGATACCAGCACCATAACTGTGACCAACGCACCAACAACTACCCCACAGGGTAAGATCTTCTTTTTGTATTTGATCGCTAAAAATGCAGAATGTATTAAAGACACTTCAAAGCAAAACCTTTGATTGTATTTTTGTGCAGTAAAACAAAGCACAGTGCAGTGTAACAAAGACCTGCTTAGTGGTTTTACGCAGATGTACTGATAATTTGTTTGGATGTGTTTTTTTTTTTCATTTTTATTTGGTTGCTGTTTTTGTCGATGGAGTGTCATATCAAGGGGTGTGGCATTCAACACTGGATTCTTCCATTTGGCTTTGTTCCCCACCAGTTCCAGATCCACTTCAACACCAAGCAGTCATTATTTCACAGACCTGAGGCTACTGCATTGTGGTCCAAGTTGTATTAGTAAACAAAATTTACATTACCCTATCACATGAACAAGACGTCAGTCGCTCACAAACAAGATGTTTGTAGAATACCTGTAATATCAAGAAATGAAATGTTTTTATTGTTAAAATTTAAAACAAATCACACTCTTTTGCATTGTAGGGTTAATGTGCCTTTTCCTCAGTCAAGCATTTAAATTCATGCACTACTTTTGCGTTTTTGTCTTTAACAGCTACACTTACTACTGCAAGCCCTGGTTATGACCCGTGCAGTAACTATACAGTGCTGGATCAGCCCTGGAGAGCTACTAACGCATCATGGAGTACTGCCTGTGATCAATACTTTGAGTGGAACGGCTGGTATCGTCTTCTCTATTATGGGATGAACATCCGCATGCCAGAGGTCTGTAGTAGTGGATGTTCCACTGGTATTCCTCTCTGGCTAAACGGCTCACATCCCCAGATACAGGATGGAATAGTCACCCGTCAGATCTGTGGTACTAATGGAGGAGTTTGCTGCTATAGTTACTACAGTACAACCTACATTCGAGTCAAAGCGTGCCCTGGAAACTTTTATGTCTATGAATTCATCAAGCCTGTATACTGTAATTCAGCCTACTGTGCAGGTATCATTTCAGACATTTCTCTTTGAATTATGGCCATTTCAGCATAATTCTTGAAATTCTTGTAATTAAAAAAATATTTAACTTCTTGCAGATATCACCTCACTAACTCCAGCCAACTTCTCAACAACCGGAGTCATCACCACAGAAACCAATATAAGTATGTAGTTGTGACGATTTTTTAAAATAAATATCATCAAGCTTTATTAGCCATAAATAAATAAATAAATATAGCTCTTAAAATTAATGCCCTTTGTTTCTATGACCAATATCATTATAATTAAAATTACTTAATCAGTTCTTATGTGCACATATTTGCTAAGTGAGCAGTTGGAAGTTATTCCCATTAAAGGGCAGATTAAGCTTGAAAAATCCATCAAACATAAATTAGTTAATGGTTTATTCTGCCTGCTGCTGAGATGACAGCATATTATGGTACAGGGCATCAACTGTTTATGTTGTCATTACATCTCACTGACACGTTGCATTCATTTATAAATATGTGCACAAACAGTGTCCCTAGTTAATAAACAGTACTGAGGCCAGCCATCTTGCACACACATATACATGAGACACTTAAAATCAAGTGTACTTTGAAGTTCCGTGAAAATCTTTAGTTCATCATGATAATCACATGAGACAATTTAAGGGTAAACACAACAGTCATGAGAAACAGCTCATGAATTATGGCCAAATCTCTCACTAAAACACTCCTATCTGTAGCAAATTACATTTACAGCTGTTATTGTTAAGGTTGCCACATGTCTATCTTGGGTTCTATTTCACAGCTACAGACTCCAGGTTTGACCCATGCTATAACTATACTGTCCTGGACAACTACTGGAGAAATACACGTATAAACTACAGAGGACATGATGACACCCTTGTAGAATGGAAGGGCTGGTATCGACTGTATCTTCAAGGACAAAGTGCTCAAATGTCTGAATGGTGTGTGAGTTATATGACATGTGGTGGTGTTATTCCACTGCTGCTCAGAGGTTCACATCCACAGATTGGAGATGGAATTGTGACTCGTGAAGTAACTGGATATCACTCGTACTACTCATGCAATTACTACAAATCCAACCCAGTTCAAGTCAAGGCTTGCCCAGGAAATTATTACGTCTATAAACTTGTTAAACCAGATATATCGATCCCTGTTCCTTCATACTGTGCAGGTACAGCAGAACTCCTCTTTACTACCTTATCTGTAATGTTTGTTTGTTCTAAGATAATTAAATTATTCTTCTAAACTAAATGCAGTTTGGATTAAAACCCTCTAGTATAAAGTTCTTTGGGTTTTGACTTGTATATCATGTGATTCCTTTTCTAATAGGAGAGCTAAGCATCAAACATCACTACATGTTCAAAACTAAATTCAGTTTTTTTATTGTGTGAAGTGTATCAGTGATAACTGGAAAAGTCTAATAATTTATGTTTCAATTACAGTTTCTTTTAGCAACTCCAGTGTAGACCCCTGCTACAGCTATACTGCCCTGAATGATACTTGGAGAAGCAGCACTGGCTCAACCGCAACTTCACAGTGTGATGCATATGTGAACTGGGTGGGCTGGTATCGGCTTTTCTATCAGGGACAAAGTGCCAAAATGCCAGAATCATGTGTCAATTTATACAGGTGTGGCACCACCTTCCCACTTTGGCTCAGTGGCTCTCACCCAAATCTGCAAGATGGAGTGGTGGTCCGGCAAATCTGTGGAAGCAGTGGCAGTGATTGCTGCTATTTCAAATCCTTACCAATTCAAGTAAAAGCTTGCCCAGGAAATTACTATGTGTACGAGTTTGTCAAGACAAGTTTCTGCAATGCAGCCTATTGTACAGGTAATGTACTGATATACTTGCATGAAAATAAATGTATTTATGCATAAGATAAATTCTTGATTTGTACATATTAATGTGATATTCTGTTTTGGCTAATTCAAAAATATGTTTTGTATATTGTGCACTTAGATTGAATGTGCAGTCAGCAAATTACCTACATACTTTAAAACAATATCATGACTACACTTTCCCAATTCTTTCACAGAATTTACAGTAAAATAATTCTTTAGTTTTTAGTTCTCTTGCGCTGCAAAGTAACCCTTGGCTACACCTGTAAGGAGATTATTTATTCAAATAACTCCTCTATTACCGTTTTAAACATAAATTTTTCATTTCAGATACTAGCAACATAACTGTCACCAACGCACCAACAACTACCCCACAGGGTAAGAACTACTTTTTGTATTTGGTCACTAAAAATGCAGAATATAGTAAAGACAATTTAAAGTAAAGCCTTTGGTTGTATTTTTGTGTGGTATATTGAAGCACAGTGCAGTGTAACAAAGATCTGCTTAGTGGTTTTACGCAGGTGTACTGATCATTTGTTTGGACATGTTTTTTTTTTATTATTTTTGGTTGCTGTTTTTGTCGGTGGAGTGTCACATCAAGGGTTGTAACATTCAAAATTATATTCTCCCATTTTGTAATGCAACAGAATCAAACAGACGTGTGCGGATGGAAAAGACTGATGAGGCTTTACTGGTTTGAGGAAGTTCCAAAATCGTTGTCACAAAACAGTCCAATGTCAAATCCAAAACAATACAAAACCAGAGAGTAATGCTTTTACCAAAGTCCAAGGGATCAGGCAGCAAGTCAGAAATGGACAAAACAGGCCAAAAGTCAAACACAGGAAATCAAACCAGTAATCGAAAGAACTGCTCAGTAGCTCTGAGAACAGATGAAATACCTCACAGAAAACCTAAACTAAAGCCTGGGCTTATAAAGCTAGCTAAACAGACCACATGATACACAGAACAGATGAAGAAACTCAGTGATCAGGCGAAGTTGAGCTTGGATAGGTTGTGCATTGGGGAAAAAGGGTCATGTGTTCTCTCCAGGGATTCGGGGACTTGGGAGTCCTTGCTGGAGGAATGTGTGACAGTACACCCCCCCCCACCCCCCAAAGAGTCTGGGAAGGCCCTGGAACAAATTAGACCACAACGCCCACCAAGAAGTCCACCCACAGCACAGGCTCATCGAGGAAGTCCTACGTTGACCATGTAGGCGACTCGGGAATGGTTCTTGAACAGCCCCCCTGGGACAACCCCTGGCACGAGGAGCAAGCTGGAATGTCACATCAAGGGGTGTGGCATTCAAAATTGGATTCTCCCATTTGGCTTTGTCCCCCACCAGTTCCAGATCCACTTCAACACCAATCAGTTATTATTTCGCAGACCTGAGGCTAGTTTAACTCATACATACCCTTCTGCCACTTTATTAGGAGAACCATTTTTAACCTAGGTAGAACCCCATTTGCTCTCAGAACAGCCTTTGACTTTTTTGTGGCATGGATTTTTATGACATTTGGGTGACTTATGTTTGTATCCATGTGTTTTATTGTTCAATTCATGTGATTAGCAAAAAAGAAGAGCTGATTAAATAGAATATATAGACACATTTTTATGCCTCCATCTGACCTTTGGTAATAGACCATCAGTTCACCTACCAGGCACACATAGATCCTCTGATCTACTTGCTTCAAGCTTGATCACATCTGGACAAAGTCAGAGCTACAGTCAGGATCACATTCTTTAATTTTATAAGTGCCTTCAACACCATCCTCTCCAAGGCCTGCTCTGGCCTTTCGATTGTTCTAAGCACGATTTTTTTGGGGCCCACGTGTGTCTAGGCACTCCAAATGGCCACATGATAAACGATTTAAAATAAAACTGTAAATATAAATAAATAAATGTAAATATATTACACATGAAAAATCAAAATAGTGTAATGAAGGAATGTAAGTTTGGTACAGTTTAAATAGTCTGAAAAAGTGGCAGTCAAAATCAAAAAAGCAGAGACCAATTAATATCAAATAACTACAAATTACAGGTAACCGTCTCAGCTTTCACTATCCAGATCCACTCTCTCTCTTGTTATCCAACTAAAAGCTTTTTCTCAACATCTTCTCTTTTTCTTTTCTGCTTGTCATCACCTGATTTTTTTTTTTTGAGAAAAGATTAACCAGTCACTTTTTTGCCATCATTCGAGTATGTTGTACCCAAAAGGTGTTAGGGGGCACTAAGAAGCTGCTTATGTTGCTTATGAGGTAGAGCTGGCTCTGATCCTGCCTTTCCAACTGGGAAATAAAGTCTTTCATTTCCTGTGGTGTTTCCTTTTCTCTTCACTCTCCACATTCCAGTGCAACCGTAGCTTATGTTCTCTGATGACTCTTCTATTTTTGGATTCATTCATGATGAAGATGAGTCAGAAACCAGGAGGATTGTTCTGCAGATATTGTCAGTAAAACAAGAGGACTGGTGATGTATTGCCAGCATGTTAGGGGCCTGTAAGCCTAGTTACTATCCAGGGGGAGGATGTAAAGATAAAGTCCTACAACAGGTGTTCTACCTAAATGACAGACCGGATGGCCAGGATTTTTTTCATGCTTTTGATGCGCTTTTGATGCAGCACCTCTGCACCAGACAGCAAACACATCAACGGTTTAAATCATTTTGTATCTTTGTCTTTTTCACTTAATGTATAAAGCCGACATTACAAATGTGACAACACCATTTCAGTTAAGATCCATTCTTTTATCCAGAATCAAAGCAGCAAGTTAACAGAAAGTTATTCCTGGAGGAATAGCAAAAGGCTCTGGTAGCTGTCCTGCAGCACTAGGTGACCTTATAATAGCAGTAAAATAACCCAGATAGCCAGTGTTTTCAGACAATAATCACAACATTTAACCAGATTTAAAAGAAAGAAGACACACCATTAATTCACATTTCAAACCTTTCAGTTGCTTTACTTGTAAAACAATGTGTTTTCCGCTCTGACCAGAAGAGTGCAGTGCAGACAAGTTACTTCAGAATGGCTGAAACACGTTGAAGCAGCAAGAGGGATTGAAAATGTATTTAAGCGGCTGATGGGAGGAGTGTAGCTGTGGAACATTAAAGGAGGACGAGAGAATAAGAGTGCAGCGGTAGAAGATTATTTATTTAAATAACTCCTCTATTACCTGTTTAACATAAAGCTTTTTCATTTCAGATACCAGCATCATAACTGTGACCAACGCACCAACAACTACCCCACAGGGTAAGACCTTCTTTTTGTACTTGATCGCTAAAAATGCAGAATGTATTAAAGACACTTCAAAGCAAAACCTTTGATTGTATTTTGGTGCAGTAAAACAAAGCACAGTGCAGTGTAACAAAGACCTGCTTAGTGGTTTTACGCAGATGTACTGATAATTTGTTTGGACATGTTTTTGTTTTTTTTCATTTTTATTTGGTTGCTGTTTTTGTCGATGGAGTGTCATATCAAGGTTTGTGGCATTCAACACTGGATTCTTCCATTTGGCTTTGTTCCCCACCAGTTCCAGATCCACTTCAACACCAAGCAGTCATTATTTCACAGACCTGAGGCTAGTTTAACAGACCTGAGGCTACTGCATTGTGGTCCAAGTTGTATTAGTAAACAAAATTTGCATTACCCTATCACATGAACAAGACGTCAGTCGCTCACAAACAAGATGTTTGTAGAATACCTGTAATATCAAGAAATGAAATGTTTTATTGTTAACATTTAAAACAAATCACACTCTTTTGCATTGTAGGGTTAATGTGCCTTTTCCTCAGTCAAGCATTTAAATTCATGCACTACTTTTGCGTTTTTGTCTTTAACAGCTACACTTACTACTGCAAGCCCTGGTTATGACCCGTGCAGTAACTATACAGTGCTGGATCAGCCCTGGAGAGCTACTAACGCATCATGGAGTACTGCCTGTGATCGAGACTTTGAGTGGAACGGCTGGTATCGTCTTCTCTATTATGGGATGAACATACGCATGCCAGAGAGCTGTAGTAGTGGATGTTCCACTGGTATTGCTCTCTGGCTAAATGGCGCACATCCCCAGATACAGGATGGAATAGTCACCCGTCAGATCTGTGGTACTAATGGAGGAGCCTGCTGCTATAGTTACTACAGTACAACCTCCATTCGAGTCAAAGCGTGCCCAGGAAACTTTTATGTCTATGAATTCATCAAGCCTCTGTATTGTTATTCAGCCTACTGTGCAGGTATCATTTCAGACATTTCTCTTTGAATTATGGCCATTTTAGCATAATTCTTGAAATTCTTGTAATTAAAAAAATATTTTACTTCTTGCAGATGTCACCACACTAACTCCAGCCAACTTCTCAACAACTGGAGTCATCACCACAGAAACCAATATAAGTATGTAGTTGTGATGATTTTTTAAAATAAATAATATCATCAAGCTTTATTAGCAAAAAATAAAAAAATTAGCTCTTAAAATTCTTAAAACATCATTATAATTAAAATTTCTTAATCATTTCATATGTGCACATATTTGCTTTGAGCAGTTGGAAGTTATATCCACTAAAGGGCAGATTAAGCTTGAAAAATCTACAAAACATAAATTGGTTAATGGTTTATTCTGCCTGCTGCTGAGATGACAGCATATTATGGTACAGGGCATCAACTGTTTATGTTGTCATTACATCTCACTGACACATTGCATTCATTTATAAATATGTGCACAAACAGTGTCCCTAGTTAATAAACAGTACCAAGGCCAGCCATCTTGCACACACATATGCACACTTAAAATCAAGTTTACTTTGACCCTTAAAGTTCTTGAAAATCTTTAGTTCATCATGATAATCACATGAGACAATTTAATGGTAAATACAACAATCGTGAGAAACAACTTATGAATTATAGCCCAAATCTCTCACTAAAACACTCCTGTTTTTAGCAAATTTCATTTACAGCAGGTTTTGTTAAAGTTACTACATGTCTGTCTTGGGTTCTGTTTCACAGCAACAGACTCCAGCTTTGACCCATGCTATAACTATACTGCCCTGGACAACTACTGGAGAAATACACGCACATCCTACAGCGGACACGATGACACCCTTGTAGAATGGAAGGGCTGGTATCGACTGTATCTTCAAGGACAAAGTGCTCAAATGTCTGAATGGTGTGTGAGGTTTACGACATGTGGTGGTGTTATTCCACTGCTGCTCGGAGGTTCACATCCACAGATTGGTGATGGAATTGTCACTCGTGAAGTAACTGGATCTCACTCGTACTACTCATGCAATTACTACAAATCCAATCCTGTTCAAGTAAAAGCTTGCCCAGGAAATTATTACGTCTATAAACTTGTTAAACCAGATATATCGATCCCTGTTCCTTCATACTGTGCAGGTACAGCAGAACTCCTCTTCACTACCTTATCTGTAATGTTTGTTTGTTCTAAGATGATTCAATTGTTCTTCTAGACTAAATGCAGTTTGGATTGAAACCCTCTAGTATAAAGTTCTTTGGGATTTGATTTGTATATCATGTGATTCCTTTACTAATAGCAGAGACAGAGCTAAGCATCAAACATGAAAACATGCTCAAAACACAATTCAGTTTTCATTGTGTAAAGTGTATCAATAACAACTGAAAAAGTCTAATACTTGATGTTTCAATTACAGTTTCTTTTAGCAACTCCAGTGTAGATCCCTGCTACAGCTATACTGCCCTGAATGATACTTGGAGAAGCAGCACCGACTCAACCACAACCTCACAGTGTGATGCATATGTGAACTGGGTGGGCTGGTATCGGCTTTTCTATCAGGGACAAAGTGCCAAGATGCCAGAATCATGTGTCAGTTTATACAGGTGTGGCACCAGCTTCCCACTTTGGCTCAGTGGCTCTCACCCAAATCTGCAAGATGGAGTGGTGATAAGGCAAATCTGTGGAAGCAGTGGCAGTGATTGCTGCTATTTCAAATCCTTACCAATTCAAGTGAAAGCTTGCCCAGGAAATTACTATGTGTACGAGTTTGTCAAGCCAAATTTCTGCACTACAGGCTATTGCACAGGTAATGTACTGATACAACTGCATGAAAATACATTTATGCATAAGATAAACATACATATTAATGTTATACTACGTTTTAGCTAGTTTATTAAATGTTTTTTTATGTTGTGCACTTAGATTGAATGTGCAATCAGCAAATTATTGAATACTTTAAAAAATATTATGACTACACTTTCCCAATTCTTAAACAGAATTTACAGTAAAATAATTCTTTAGTTATTAGTTCTCTTGCCCTGCAAAGGTTCCGTTGGCCACATTTGTAAGTGTATTTATTTAAATAACTCCTATATTACCTCTTTAATTTCATTTCAGATACAAGCAACATAACTGTCACCAACGCACCAACAACTACCCCACAGGGTAAGAACTACTTTTTATATTTGGTCACTAAAAATGCAGAATGTAGTAAAGACACTTCAAAGTGAAACTTTTGGTTGTATTTTGGTGCAGTATAACAAAGCACAGTGAAGTGTAACAAAGACCTACTCAGTGGTTTTACGCAGGTGTATTGATAATTTGTTTGGACCTGCTTTTTAATTCATTTTTGTTTGGTTGCTGTTTTTATCGATGGAGTGTCAAATCAAGGGATGTGGCGTGTAACATTGGACTCTTCCATTTGGCTTTGTCCCCCACCTGTTCCAGATCCACTTCAACACCAAGCAGTCATAATTTCACAGACCTGAGGCTGGTTTAACTAATACATACACTTACCGACCACTTTATTGGGAAAACTATTTTTAACTTAGGTAGAACCCCATTTGCCCTCAGAACAGCCTTTGACTTCTTTCATGGCATGAATTTTTATCACTTATGTTAGACTTATGTTTGTATCTATGTGTTTTCTTTTTCAAATCATGTGATTGCTGATGAAGAAGAGCTGATTACATAGATTAAATACACATGGTTTTATGCCTGCATCTGACCTTTGGTCATGGATCTTCAGTTCGCCTACCAGGCACACACAGATCCTCTGATCTACATCCTCCCTAGCTTGATCACATCTGGACAAAGTCAAAGCTACAGTCAGGATCACATTCTTTAATTTTTAAGGGCCTTCAACACCATCCTCCCCAAGGCCTGTTCTAGCCTTTCGGTTGCCCTATCACAGGATGTTTTGGAGCCCCCATGTGTCCTGGCACTCCCCCAAACTTACACACAATAAACCATTTAAGAATAAAACTGTAAATAATTAAATGTAAAATATTATACATAAATGATCAATCAAAATAGTGTAATAAAAGAATGTGACTTCAGTTTGAATAGTTTGAAAAAAGTGGCAATCAAAATCAAAATAGCAGAGACCAATTAATATCAAATACATACAAATTACAGGTAACCATCTCAGCTTTCACTATCCACTTTCTTTTGTTATGAACTAAAAGCTTTTTCTCAACATCTTCTCTTTTTCTTTTCCACTTGTCATCACTAGATGCATCTTTTTGGAGAAAAGATTAACCAGTCGCTTTTATTCCCTCACTCGAGCATCTTATACCCAAAAGCTGTTAGGGGGCTCTAAGAAGCTGCTTATGTTGCTTTTGAGGTAGACCTGGCTCTGATCCTGACTTTCCAATCGGGAAACAAATTCAGTATAATCCAGATTGATGCCTCCATAGTCTTATGGTTCTGATCTGACCCACAGGCCACAGTGGTACCTAACAACCGTGGTGAATCAACAGAATCAGTGACCGTTGCAAGTTGCAATCGCAACAGGCTCTGGTAGCACTAGGTGCTCTTATAACAGCGGTAATATAACCCAGATAGCCAGTGTTTTCTGACAAGAATCACATTTCATCAGATTTAAAGAAAGAAGACACACCATTAATTCACATTTCAAACTTTTCAGGTGCTTTTTTTTTTTTTAATTTTTACCCCATTTTCTCCCCAATTTAGTCATCTCTAATTCCACCCGCTAGTTAGGACTCCCCCAATCACACGATGCTATCAACGCTAGGAGGGTGAAGGCTAACACAGGCTTCCTCCGAGACCTGTGAAGCACCACCGCATCTTTTCGAACTGCCGCTCACGCAACGTCATTGGACAGCCAAACGCGCTCGGAGGAAAGCGCCAACCGCCACATCTGTTACGTCAGCTAACAGACGCCTGCGCTGAGTGATGGGGGGAGAAGGAGGGGCCATCCTACCCACCCAGAGAGAGTGAGGCCAATTGTGCTCTCTCGGACTCCCGGCTACGGATGGCTGTAGCATCACCAGGGATCGAACTCGCGATCTCCTGATGATAGGGCCAACGCTTAGACGGTTGCGCCACTCGGGAGCCCCTTGCTTTTTTTTTTTAAACAATGTGATTTCCGCTCTGACCAGAAGAGTGCAGTGCAGACAAATTACTTCAGAATGGCTGAAACACCTTGAAGCAGCAATCCATTAGTTTTCGATTACAGTTTTAACAGAAATACAGTATAAGTAGCACTCAAAATTTGCTAGCTAGCTACCTAATGTTAGCTAACTCAGTAAAATTTGCTAGCTAGCTAAGCATTAGCTCTAGTACTTTGCTAGTTTGCTGATTAGAATATCTGAATATCTATATTTTCAAAATGTATCATATATTTATATCTAATGTCACATTATGCAGTATTGAGTAAAAGAAAAAGCAGTAATTGTAGAATACCTGGAATATCAAGAAATGAAATGTTTTTATTGTTAAAATTTAAAACAAATCACACCGTTATGCAGTGTAAGGTTGAGGTGTCTTTTCCTCAGTCAAGCATTTAAATTCATGCACTACTTTTACAGTTTTGTCTTCAACAGCTGCACTTTCTACTACTGCAAACCCTGGTTATGACCCGTGCAGTAACTATACAGTCCTGCACCAGCCCTGGAGAGTTACTAATGCATCATGGGATAATGTCTGTGATCGAGATTTTGAGTGGAACGGCTGGTATCGTCTTCTCTATTATGGGATGAACATACGCATGCCAGAGCGCTGTAGTAGTGGATGTTCCACTGGGGTTCCCCTGTGGCTAAACGGCTCACATCCCCAGATGCAGGATGGAATAGTCACCCGACAGATCTGTGGTTATAGTGGAGGAATCTGCTGCTCTAGTTCCTACAGTACAACCTCCATTCGAGTCAAAGCGTGCCCAGGAAATTTTTATGTCTATGAATTCATCAAGCCTGTCTCATGTAATTCAGCTTACTGTGCAGGTATCATTTAAGACGTTTTTGTTTGAAACATGGCCATTTTAGCATAATGCTTGAAATTTATGAAATATGTATATTAAAAATATATTACTTCTCACAGATATCTCCACACTAACTCCAAGCAACTTCTCAACAACTGGAGTCATCACCACAGAGACCAATACAAGTATGTATGCTTTTTTAAAATAAGTGAGATCAATAAGCTTTATTAGCAAAAAATAAATAAAAAGAATACATAGCCCTTAAAATGAATGCCTCTAATTTCTATGACCGGTGTCATTATTTGTAAAATTTCTTAAGCATGGTACACTTGATTTAAAACATTTCATATGTGTGCATATTTGCTACATTAGCAGATTTTTCCACAGTCACCTGCATACCTTTTTTTTCTGTCTAGAGGACTTAAATTTATATCGACTAGGGAGCAGGTCAGGGTCAAACATTTTTAATTGGTTGATTCTGATGTGATATCACATGCACTGTTTATGTTGCCATTACATCTCACTGACGCATTATGTTAATTTCTAAATATGTGCACAACCAGTGCCCCAAGTTAATACACAATACTTAGGCCAGCCATCTTGCACACATATATACACACTTAAAGTCAAGTCTGCTTTGACCCTTAAAGTTCATTAAAAAGCTTTAGTTATATATCATGAAAATCATTTGAGACAATTTAAGGGTAAATGCAAAGATCATGAGAAACATATCATGAATTATGGTCCAGGCCTTTCACTAAAACACTCCTGTTTGTTAAGGTTACCACATGTCTATCTTGGGTTCTATTTCACAGCAACAGACTCCAGCTTTGACCCATGCTATAACTATACTGTCCTGGACAACTACTGGAGAAATACACGTATAAACTACAGAGGACATGATGACACCCTTGTAGAATGGAAGGGCTGGTATCGACTGTATCTTCAAGGAAAAAATGCTCAAATGTCTGAGTGGTGTGTGAGTTTTATGTCATGTGGTGGTGTTACTCCACTGCTGCTCAGAGGTTCACATCCACGGATTGGTGATGGAATTGTCACTCGTGAAGTAACTGGAACTCGCTGGCTCTCCACATGCAATTACTACAAATCCAACTCTATTCAAGTCAAGGCTTGCCCAGGAAATTATTACGTCTATAAACTTGTTAAACCAGATATATCGATCCCTGTTCCTTCATACTGTGCAGGTACAGCAAAGCTCTTCTTTACTACCTTAACTGTATCATTTGTGTATTCCATGAAGATCATTTTACTCTTGTAGATTAAGTGGTGAAGTCTGGATTTAAACGCTGCATTATGAAGTTCTTCGGGTTTTGATTTTTGTTTCGTGTGATATATTCCTTATGACAGGAGAGATGGAGCACCAACATCTATACATGCTCAAAAAAATTCAGTTTTCATTGTGTGAAGTGTATCAGTGACAACTGAAAAAGTCTAATACTTTGTTTCAATTATAGTTTCTTTTAGCAACTCCAGTGTAGATCCCTGCTACAGCTATACTGCCCTGAATGATACTTGGAGAAGCAGCTCTGACTACACCACAACTTCACACTGTGATACCAGTGTAAACTGGGTGGGCTGGTATCGGCTGTTCTATCAGGGACAAAGTGCCAAGATGCCAGAATCATGTGTCAGTTCATACAGATGTGGCACCCAGTACCCACTTTGGCTCAATGGCTCTCACCCAAATCTGCAAGATGGAGTGGTGGTCCGGCAAACCTGTACAAGTTATGGCAGTGATTGCTGCTTTTACAAAGCCTTTCCAATTCAAGTGAAAGCTTGTCCAGGAAATTACTATGTGTACGAGTTTGTCAAGACAAGTTTCTGCAATGCAGCCTATTGTACAGGTAATGCACTGATATACTTGCATGAAAAAAAATATGTATAAGATAATTTCCTGACTTGGAAATGTTGATGGGATGCTGTACTTTAGGCTGTTTCTCAAAATGTCAGAATTTGTTCGCACATTAATTGTCATGTGCAATCATCAGATTGTCTGCATACTTGCATATACTAGATGGCCAAAATATATGGACATTCTAGCAATGCTAGATCTGGAAACTGTAAGTGTTATAACTGTGAAATGGAAGTGTCTAGGAGCAACAACAGCTCATCAACGAACCCAAGCAAACATCAGTGCAACTGTGCATCAAGAGTTTCATGAAATCGGTTTCCATGGCTGAGCAGCTGCACACAAGTCTAAGATCATTATGCACAATGCCAAGCATCACCTGAAATGGTGTAAAGCATGCCGTCATTGGACTATGGAGCAGTGCAAATGTGTTCTCTGGAGTGAATAATCTGTCTTCACTATCCAGATGTCTACTGGATGAATCTGGGTTTGGCAGATACCAGGACAAAGCTGCCTTCTGTAATGCAGAGTGCTAACAGTAGAGATTGGTAGAGGAGGGATAATGGTATACGGCTGTTTTTCAAGGTTTGTCTAGGCCTTCTGGTTCCAGTGAAGGGTAATATTAATGCTACAGCATACAAAGACAACTTCCTTTTAATGCACATGATTTTGGAAAAAAAATGTGTGACAGTCTGGTGTTAACATACTTTTGGCCATATAGTGTATCATGAGTGTACTTTTCTAGTTTATATAGAGTTTAAAATAAAACCATCTTTTATTTATTAGTTCTCTAGCCCTGTAAAGTAACCCTTTTTAACTTAGTAGCATCATACCAATGTGTTTGCAATTTGGTTGCATGATTTTCCCATTTTTATTTGGTTGCTCTATTTATGAACAGAAATCACTTGCACTGATGTTGGTAGAGTGGCACCACAAAGGGTGTGGCATTTGAAATTGGATTCTCCCATTTGGCTTTGGCCCATACTGGCTCCAGCTTTACCCTAGCACCACTTATATGTTATTAGACACACCTATGCCTAGTTTAGCTGATAAATACACCCTCTAACTACTTGTTTAGGAACACCATTCTAGAACTGGGACGACCCTGATTTGCTGTAAGAAATGCCTGAATTGTTTGTGTCACGGATTAAATAAGTTGCTGTAAGAACTCCTCAGAATGTGTAATTTTGATGTGATTGCATCACCAAATTAATGCAGATTTATCAGCTGCATGTTAATACCGTTGATCTCCCTTTCTACCACATCCTAAAGGTGCTCTGTTGCATTCTGAACTGGTCACTGCAGAAGCCAATAAAGTACACTGAAATCATAGTAATCTTCATGGAACCAGTTTGAGATGACTTGTGAGGCATGGTAGCTAGTGTGTTTGCAGTCAGTGTGTATGTATGTGTGCTTCCCTGAAAGATTATTTTGGATGCAAGTTATCATTTTAAAAGCCAGCAGTGAAGGCTGTTTGGAATCCTGCTCCAGAGAGAATTTCCAAACTATAATATCTGGATGATGACGGAAGATAGTGGTTGGATTAAAAAAATAAATAAACTGTAAATTTCATGTCTTTACATCTTTAAAGGACATTTATGCATTTTTTCCCTTTTTTTAAAAAAATTAGTAGCTTTAAAGCAACATAATCTTGTGAGTTTGCAGACACATTTGTTTCTTGTGGATTTGTTGAGGTTTCAGCATCGTTTTGTAAAATCGTCTGCCCCTACACATCATGCTAAAACAATTTGTCAGAAAAACGGCCTTTCCTGTCAAAGTAGGCAGTTTTTGGCCATATTAAGTGACAAAATGGACCAGACTCTCTAATGACAGGTACCACCGGGGTACAGCTGAAGAAGACTTGCATTATGCAGCACGACTTCCCTTCCTGAAGTCCACTTCCCTTGGCTGAATATGCTGCTGTTTGAGTGGCTGAGGTTGCTGATGAGCTCCCAGTGACACTGCTTAACTGAGACGCTGGTGCCTACACTAGGATTATTATATATATGAAATGGTCATTATTATTATTATTAATATTATTATTATTATTATTATTATTATTGTTATTTTCAGTTTTTCCTTTTTTTTAGTTTTAGTTAATCTTCAAGGTGCATTAATAATTTCAGTTTGATTTCTATTTTCTGCATATCAACTTTTAAAGAACAAAAAAAGTGCTAATTTTGAGTTATTTTGAGCTGCAGCTGAGCTCAGACAGAATTTTGTTGAGTTGCAACTGGGTTCAGATTCAAAACACGCTTCAGTGGGTCAGGTCAGGCAAAAAGTGTTCAAAAATTATATTTGTCTATAAAATTAATAATTAAACTTGATTACAGCTGTAGTGCTCACGATAAGCAACAGATCTCTAACAATTAATTATTGTGGTTCAAAGAATTTACACTAAATAAAAGGTGGCATTCATAGTCAAATGTTGCCAAAAAGTAAGTATGGGAAGAACAGTGAATTTTTGACGGTTATCCATTTTCTTCCAGTTCCTTATAGGTTATTTCCCATTCTACCTGGTACTGTTCAGCGTGCAGTTACTGTTGACGGAGGTTCTACGCTGATCCAGCTGGACTATCCATTCTTCTACTTTGGAAAACCACACTCACAGTTATATGTAAGTATAAAAACACAATACAGTGCTTAAATATATATTCTGTTAAAGTGCCTTCCAGGATTATTTGCATCATAAATGAGGAAAATAAACTGGGCAGGGTAGATTTTTTTTTTTCAAATTTACAGCATAGCTTGCCAAGTCTATAGGCTGTTCACTGAATAAAGAGAGAAACAATTTCTCTAGCCCACCCCTTGGCAGCCTGAAGTCTCTTCCTAGTCTGGCTACTTTGAAGAGCTTTTATCCCAGTCCCTGTATCCCAATGGCTGCATATTTGGCTTGACAAAGCATGACTAACCATAGTGTTTTAGGATTACATATCAGAATTGTATTAACATGCAATCTGCTGCCTGTATTTTGGAAGTGGTCATAAACTATGTTAGCCATAACTTTCTGGGTTTAACTCCAATCGTTGCTCCAACTGCTTGTAATCAGTTTCACATTCAAACTGCTAAATTCATCACAGTGGCATGAGTAGATGCATCCTTTCTTCAACCTGTCTTTCCATTTTTCTTTAATTGTAATTTCTTAACAACCACTTCTGTTTTATTGGTTCTTAACCTGATGTTACGATGTCACAGATCAGATGCTCACAGATAAAAAGACAAGGCTGAAGTTTACTAAAGTAATGATACAGAGGGCATAGTCAGAACAGGCTAGGGTCAGAACCAGAGAGCAAGAGAACCAAAACAGAAGGGATATCAAGAGAGTAACCCATTCTTAATCCATAGGGTTTAATATGATGTCGGCCCACCCTTTGCAGCTATAACAGCTTCAACTCTTCTGGGAAGGCTTTCCACAAGGTTTAGGAGTGTGTTTATGGGAATTTTTGACCATTCTTACAGAAGCGCATCTGTGAGGTCAGACACTGAGAAGGCGTGGCTTGCAGCCTCCGCTCTAATTCATCCCAAAGGTGTTCTGTCGGGTTTAGGTCAGGACGCTGTGCAGGCCAGTCAAGTTCTTCCACACCAAACTCACTCATCCATGTCTTTATGGACCTTGCTTTGTGCACTGGTGCGCAGTCATGTTGGAACAGGAAGGGGCCGTCCCCAAACTGTTCCCACAAAGTTTGGAGCATGAAATTGTCCAAAATCTCTTGGTCTGCTGAAGCATTAAGAGTTCCTTTCACTGGAACCAAGGGGCCGAGCCCAACTCCTGTAAAACAACCCCACACCATAATCCCCCCTCCACTAAACTTTACACTTGGCACAATGCAGTCAGACAAGTACCGTTCTCCTGGCAACCACCAAACCCAGACTCGTCCATCAGATTGCCACATGGAGAAGCGTGATTCGTCACTCCAGAGAACACGTCTCTACTGCTCTAGAGTCCAGTGGCGGCACTTTACACCACTGCATTCGATGCTTTGCATTGCGCTTGGTGATGTAAGGCTTGGATGCAGCTGCTCGGCCATGGAAACACATTCCATGAAGCTCCCTACACTGTTCTTGAGCTAATCTGAAGGCCACATGAAGTTTGGAAGTCTGTAGCGATTGACTCTGCAGAAAGTTGGTGACCTCTGTGCACTCTGTCCACTGACCCCGCTGTCATTTTACATGGCCTACCACTTTGTGGCTGAGTTGCTGTCACTCCCAATCACTTCCACTTTGTTATAATACCACTGACAGTTGACTGTGGAATATTTAGTAGCGAGGAAATTTCATGACTGGACTTGTTGGACAGGTGGCATCCTATCACAGTACCACGCTGGAATTCACTGAGCTCCTGAGAGCATACCTATGGAAGTGATTGGAACACCTGAATTCAATGATCTTAATGGGTGAATGAATACTTTTGGCAATATAGTGTACTAACTGACTAGTGGAGTATAATGACAAAAAGGTGTGACAGCTTAGAATTCTGGTGAGGAGGAACGCTGAATGAATGTTCATTGGTTGATGGTTATCGGACGAGAGTCACATGATCTCCAACTGATTCATGAGAGTTCTAGTCCTCTAGACAGTTCATGGACTCAAGTCCTTACAAGGGAAAAGGAACAAGTAGAGGAAGCGTCCTCGGCTGGAGGCGTGACACCTGAGGTCACAGAACTGTTGCCAAAAAGACGTACACGCCCATATTTTCATATTCTGTGAAGGTACTTCAGAGCTGCAGCCGAAAAAAAAATCACTAAATAATTCTAAAATAACTCTAACCCTGGGCCTCTGCTTAGTGATGCAAGTTGGTCAGCAATTTTGGTTGCACATATATATAAATGTATACATACCGCTAAGAACAGTCTTAGTTGCTTCTAAGACATAAATTCATGTGATTCATAAACAGACTAAGCCTTTCTGATAAATGGTCTAAAAATGTTCTTTACTCTGACTGTCTTAACAGTTAAGACTGTTCTAGATAAGACCTGCTGGTGCAACTGCACCAGAGTGGCAAGTTTGTGTATATTCGCTCCACAATGATGATGTGTCAAAACTCTTGAAAAGGAACATTAATCACAAAAAAGGCTTTACAGATGATGATGATCTTTCACAAAAGGGGGTCAAAAGCACCTCAACACCAACTGTTTTTTCCTCACAATGTCCCTTATAGCTCCATTTCGTACCCTACACATATGGAAGCCTGGTAACTGCAGGACAGTGGTTCACTTGGCATGTGTCCAGTGTTACAGTCTGAGACCAAAAAACTAGACCTTTGACTGGGATGACCAAAAAAAGGCTCAGATAAATACCTGCCAACAAACCAAAAAGGGCAAAGACGAAAAGGACAGGCCAAAAACACAGAAAACAAGTCACACACAGAAGAACTTGCACAAACAAAGAATGCTACACAACGGAAGGTGCTGGCAATACCTCGAAAACTGCTAAGCTAAAGCCCAGGCTTTATATACACTGTATTTCCAAAAGTATCCGCTCGTCTTTCTTCACATGCATATGAACTTGAGTGACATCCCATTCTTAATAAATAGGGTTTAATATGATGTCGGCCCACCCTTTGCAGCTATAACAGCTTCAACTCTTCTAGGAAGGCTTTCCACAAGGTTTAGGAGTAACTGATACAAAAGAAGAAAACAGATCAGATGATGCTGTGTGACTAACCCTGAGGAGAATGTGATTTTCAATTGTAAGAGAACAAACTTACAACAGACAAACATGAACTAACAAACTGTGGCCTCCATCCCTGTCGTCTTAATTTAAAGAGCTTCTCAACAATTTCTAAACAACTCAACACCACATTGTTTAGTGTAACTACAGAATTCAGAACTGTCTTCTGTTTCTTTTCCAGCTCAGTATGAATGGTTTCCTGTCTTTTGAGCCCCTCTACCCTGTCAGCTATGACCCGTCTCTGAACAAAGACATCATCGCTCCACTGTGGACTAAAATCCACATTTACACCAGAGGAAGCATCTCCTACAGCCAAGCCACAAGTGGCCCTCTTGTAAAACTAGCTGCTGATGAAATTTCCCAAGGATTACCCGGCAGTAAAGTCTTTGTTTCCTGGGTCTTTGTCAGCACCTGGGAGAAGGTGGAATTTGAGCCTGATGTGGGGGTAGGTGTTTCTCCTTATAATTCAGTCACCGACTCCAAGCAAGACAACTTTTAACACTGTTCTTCTCTTGAAGGAGGTGACTTTCCAAGTAGTCTTGGTCTCTGACAGCGAAAACCGCTCTTATGTCCTGATGAACTATGGATCCATCCCCCCTTCTCCACAAGTATGGATGGTAAGAGGATCATGGTCATCGTGATTATTTCGTTATGCTTTATAACTTCGAAATATCATGTAACCAGATACTCAAGATTCACTATGTTTTTGTTATTCTTTTTAGGCTGGATATAAAGCAGAGAACAATACCTATAATTTCACCATTGAGGCACTCAATACCTCTAGTCTGTCTTCTACTACTAACGTTGGAATACCTGGTCGCTGGGCTTTCCGTGTTGATGGTGCAGTCTCAGGTGAATTTATTGTTACTTCATTTTTGGGTTGATGTGCAGCTTTACAGCAACAATATGGACATATATATCAGACTTCAAGCACAATGATGTAGTGCATATAGTGGGATACTGTGTTTGCATCTCAATTCAGACATGTTACAAGAGTGCAGGAACAATAGCAAAAAAAATTAGTTTGATTAAAGAAAAGATCATCATTTCTGTGCTCGTAATTTAAAACATGCATACGCTATTCTGTATTTCAGAAGTGAAATCGAAATCTGTGTTATTTATCGATGAAAGGAGGCTTTCTTTGTTTAAATGCAAAAACAGTTTTGTGAATTTCAACATGATTTGACACAGAACAGCGATTCAATTCAGCAATTCAACAGTAACTTAAAATTATAATGAATTAAAAGTTTTGATACAATATAAAGAACTAAAATATTTCTAATATTTCTCAGGCAAAAAGAGAATCAGTCAGATTACATCAGTAATATTTATTACAACAAGGGGGATTTCAAAGTAACATGCTCTAAACAGGCAAAACTGTTGGTCCTCTGCATTGCACCAAAACACCTCAGATGTGCCGAGGACTGTATAAGACCTCTAAATGTGCCCTGTGGTGTCTGGCACCAAGATGTTAGCAAAAGAACTTAACCTCCTTTGTAGTGATGCTAATCCAAAGAGGTCCACATATCCAAGCATAAGCCAGAGTTTCTCTATTTGGTTTATTTGCTATGGTAAAACACAGGATAAGGTGGAAATGCTACACTGTGTAAAAGATTTAAAAGTTTAACTGTCAAAGTGCTACAAAATGTAATGCTCAATACCCATTTTTTGGAAAAAAAAAGGTTAAAAGTGCACTTGAAATATTAACTGAATTTTAACACTCCTTTTGTTAATTTACAAGAATGGAATATAAATTCTCAAAATGATCTTTATTTAACAGTCATTTGCATTTATTTTATTGGTTGTTGCTGTTATTATTATAGCAAAATAATGTATGTCTAACTATTGGAACTGCTGAATTAGGATTAAATCGTGTTAATGAAAAATGTGAGAAGTACCTGCTCAGGAATTCAAAAAGCGAGTGTGTTCTGCTTTTTTAACACTTTTAACCACCAAGTGCTGCTGTTTCCTTGTGCCGGCGCAAAAAAATCACGAGTATAATCTGCATGTTAATGTAGTTATGCATTAAGCCTGTGTTCATGCATAAAACTGTGTACAGCTATTAAAAGTGCGTGTAATTGTTGTCATCTATTAGTTCCACCTGGAACATTTTCATATTTAGTATAATTAGTAGTAAAATTATCACATTATTGGGAGGGACAGAAAGTTGTATTTAATTAATAACGATAAATCAGTGGATTCATTAAAATATCATTGATGGGACTAACTTATAAGTACTAGATAGTTCTTACATTACTTCTTTATATGAGTAAATTTCCAGGAAGAATAAGTCACCCATCGTCCTAAGATTTTTGGACTGTGTTACTGTTATTAATAGAAACATAAAAAGAATATATAAGTTTTCATAGTAGTTATAATTTCTTTCTCTCATCTTTAAATATCTTTCTTGCAGCTCCATCTACGTTTTTCTTTCCCATGCTACCTGGTGCTATTCAACATGCTGTTACTGCTGATGGAGGTTCTAGACTGATCCAGCTTGACTATCCATTCTTCTACTTTGGAAAACCACATTCACAAATATATGTAAGTAGAAGAGCAGAACAGAATGGTTAAAGAATCATTCTGACACATTGCCTATTACCATGATTAGTACCCTCAATTAACGTGATTATTCAGTCTTTGATCCTCCTGTTTCTTAAGACAATTGACACTTAATTCTTCATTAGTTAAATTGCTTGTTAACACATGAAGTCATATTGGTAGGTTGAACTGGTGAGTCATTTTTCACAATGTATGGGACTGTCCTCTTCATTTACTCTCTTGACCTCAGTTAAGGGGTTTAGGTCATAGGACATTGGGTGATGGTCATTGGAGAACTGAACCATTTTAAAGCAACATTATGTAGCAAATTTGCATTAAAATAAAAAAATCATTTTGATGGTACACTGACTTATAGTAGGGAGAATGGTGTCTCTGTCACTGCCACTCTCGGCCCGGGATGTCTGCGTTTAAACACACCCTTAGACCTCTGATGACTTAAGAAGACTGATGACTGCTTAGGGTTTCTTGAAGACTGAAGAATGTCAGAAAAGAAAAACTAAGATTTCACTTCAATCTGGTTAAGGTTTCACAGTTAAGAGTTACTCAGACTGCTTTTTAATTACTGATCTCTGCTAAATAGCAATGGCTCACTGTCTTTTAAAGAAATTTTAACAGAGCATCTCAGAAAGATGTGGGGTATTAATTTGCGAGTTACTGAATGAATCTTCAGTGTAACTTTATTATTCTGAATTCTTTTGTGATTATTTCTTTTTCAGCTCAGTATGGATGGTTTCCTGTCTTTTGAGTACCTCTACCCTGATGGCTATGACTCAACTCTGAACAAAGACATCATCGCTCCACTGTGGACTGACGTTGACTCTTACACCAGAGGAAACATCTCTTATGAGCAAGCCACAAATGGGTCTTTGATTGAGCTAGCTACAAATGAAATGAACAGCATGTTCTCTGGGTTGAACTTTTCTGTTTCCTGGGTTTTTGTCGCCACTTGGGAGAAGATGGAATTTGAACCTGATACAGGGGTAAGAGTCTGTCTTTATAACTCAGTCACTGACTCCAAGCTAAATACATTTTTAATACTTTTATCCTCTTGAAGGAGGTGACCTTCCAAGTCATCCTGATCTCTGATAGCAAGAACCGCTCTTATGTCCTGATGAACTATGGATCCATCCCTCCTGATCCACTACCATGGATGGTAAGAGGAGCATGTTCATTCATGTTTTTACTAATTTCATAATGCTTTATGATATTAAAATAAAAAAGTAGGCAAACAAATAGCACTTATATAATTTTATTTCAATTAACTTTTTTAGGCTGGATATAAGACGGTGAACAACACATATTATTTCAGCATTCAAGCACCCAGTACCTCTATTCTGTCTGCTACTACTAATGTTGGAATACTTGGTCGCTGGGCTTTCCGTGTTGACAGTGCAGTCTCAGGTGAATTTGCTGTTATTTTGTCTTTGGGGTGATGTGCAGCTTGTCAAACTACATTTCAAGCAACATGATACACTGAGAAAATTAGACTCTGACTGATATAATGGTTGGCTGGTAATATCGGCCAATATCATTGACCTGCGGTATTAGTGACATCAACAATATCACCAATGACGCACCGTTAATTACCAACTTTTTCAATTGCAGTATCACAGGATTTCAAATTCGCAATGTTCTGATGATAGAGCGAAAATCTTACACAGCTGTACCACTGGGAACCTAATACATAATAATGCATATCACAGCAAATACATACTGAAATGGTGAATCTGAACATAGAAAAATCATGGTTAAAATAACATCAAAAATATCAAATGTATCCAGAATTAACCTTTAGCATTGGAATAACATGGTCTAATAATAAAAATAGATAACTAATGAGAAAACATTCATGGAAGGTCTCCATGAAAATTGCTCATCCCCATATCTTTGCAACATGTAGCAACTGACATTTATTGACTTGCCAGTTTATTATATATATTATTTATCTAATAGCAGATTATACCTTCTGAGACCTTCTGAACACGATGAATTCACCTGGGCATAGATTCTAGATGCTGGATGTGTTATGAAGGACTTTTTCTTTGCATTCATTTCCTTCAAATAAAATTTTTGCATGTCAAAATGTAAAGGGTTATAACTCCATCCTCAAGTTTGGCAACATTCAGAGTCATGTTGCGTACATATAATAATTCAGAGAGAGTGGTTACATGATCCCATCAACGTCTGCCTTGCCATATTATTGGCTTAGAAACGTTAAGGAAGGCATTAAAAATAGCAACCAAGGATATTTTATTCCATCAGCCTTTACTGTTCATTTTAACTATAGATTATCATGTGGACCGATTATACATCAGAACAGCTGGAATAACCCAGTATACTTCAATAACTGAGGCCCATTGAATTGCAGTGGCAGGACCCCCTACAGCTCAGATTGGACCCAAATAATGATTATGAGAGAGTGATTGATTATTTAGGGTTGTAGATATTTATATTAAAGATTATCCACTAATGCATAACATCACTTATTCTCTCACAGTGTCACCACCACCAGCACTGTTCTATCCATTTGGCTCAGGAGCAGGAGACACTGTTAATCCCCGCAGTGATGATGGAAGCTCACCTGCTGTAAACTTACAGAGTCCATTCACTTTCTTCAGACGCACATACACTAAGCTATATGTGAGTGACTATAATCATTATTAAAGCTGAACCATGCATATATATTTTTAATTGTCTGTTTTTGTTTTCACTTGCAGGTTAACAACAATGGACACCTGACGTTTGATCAGCCGTGGGACAGCTATACACCCACTCAATTCAGTGCTTATAATGGAAGAGATATCATCGCTCCACTCTGGACTGATATTGATAATCGTGCAACCGGCAATATCTCATATAATCAGTACACTAGTGGCAGTGTCCTTTCACAGGCCACACGGGACATAAACCAGTACTTTCCAGAGTTTATCTTCACTGCTTCCTACGTCTTTGTTGCAACATGGGATAAAGTGGCGTACTACAGCTACTCAGGCACGGTAAGATACAGAATTTTGAGAATTCTGAGAAATCACATGATGGAATTAAAAGGAGTTTATACACTTATACAACAGACACACAATTTTATTCCAGCATTCATCCAAATAACAATTAGTAAATGTTCAACTTTGCTGCTAATTATGAGAAAACAGCTGGTTAGCATTAGTTCAGCTAGCATGATACCAGTTCTGCTCACCACAGAACGTTTGATTCTGGCTAACAGTAAAACACCTAAACAGGTTTAGATGATAACTACTTAATGCTGAAAAGTATAGACGATAAAAATGTATGTCTGAGAACCTGTTGAGAGCTGTAGCTGTAATTTCCTATTTGGCAGTCCAAAAGTGCCACACACCACAGTACACACTCAGTTCCAGCAAAATGATCTTCACACTCATTTAGAGGATGAAAACTCATATCTGAGAGCGTCAACTGACTGGTGTTAAAGGGACAAATAAACTAACAGCTCTTTGAGATCTAAGTGTACCATGGCTACTGAGAACAGATTCACACAGAAAAGCATCATTTAAATATTGTTTTCTCTTTCCTTATTCTATGTGTCATCATCTTTGATTTTTTTCTTTGTAAAGCACCTGTAAAAACCCACTAAGTGGATGTGCAACCTAGGAAACTGCACAGGTACTCGAGTACCTGGGTCAAGATGCCAGTATCCAAATACTGAAATCACCTTTTGCTATTCATTTCATGCAACAGACAAAACACACAGATCGATAATTCAATGAAACAGCAATTTTACACTAAATGTCCAAAAGTTTTTAGACACCATCCAAAATTTCCCATGAAATCAAGAGTACTAATAGGGAGTTCATCCCCCTTTGCAGCATTAACAGCCTCTACTCTTTTGTGAAGGCTTTAGCACTAGATGTTGGAACATTGCTGTGAGGATTTGATTGCATTCAGACACTAGAGCATTGGTGAAGTCAGACATTGATGTTGGATGAGTAGTTCTAGATCATAAACTGCACTTCAGCTCATACCAAATTTCCTCAGCTCCACAGCCCAATGCTGGGATACTTTATACCCCTCTAGCCGACACTTGGCATTGGGGGTCGTGAAGCTCATGAGCCGCTGACTGTGCCTTTCAATGGAAATCATACAAGCTGCATATGAGCAGTTGAACACCTGTGTCAGCAATGGGAGCACCTTACCAAGCTGAATTCACTAATTAGTAGGGGTGTCTACATATTTTTGAAAATATAGTGTATGTCATAATAGGAAGGTGTTGTGTTGTACCAGTTAGTGTATTGCCTACCGATTTTCCTCAGCTATTTTTGCATAATGAAATGTTTTCAAATCCATTCTTCTGTGCACTGCTGTTTTTTTGTGCAACAAAAGTGCCACCACCTAAAAAAGTAAGCGAACAGCCCTGCGTTAATTTCATTCGAAATCCATATTTTGTAACCTCCACAGAGACAACCGATTATTAGTCAGTTTATCAGGCCTGAGTGTGTATAGGTAATAAGTGGTTTTAATGAAATAGTTAGGAATAATACTGTACTGTTTTGTGTCTGGAAGTGTAGTGAATAAAACAAGGAAAGCATATTCCAAGAACAATTTGTCTCTGATACGTTTTAGAAATTTTCTTTACTTTATCTTTCAGGAAACATCCTTCCAAGTGGTTTTGATTTCTGGTGGCAGTTTGTCCTTTGTGCTGATAAATTATGGTGACATTGCACCAACAAACTACAGAGTGGAGGTAAAATGATCTAAACCTCATCTACATAATACAGAACTTGTGTCTTTGTTCTTGATTCTAAACATTTCGTAACATGTCTGTTTAGGCTGGATATGACACAAACTTCACAGACTACTTTGTAATTCTGTGGTCAAATGACAAATCCACCATTCCGAACCTCAAGTATTTGAGTAATGTGAACGTCCCAGGACGCTGGGCCTTCATGCTAAACCAACCTAGTGGTAATGATGTTTTTATTCATATATATATATATATACTTTTTTTGAGTGTTTCTAATACAAAACCTTTATTCAGAAATGACTCTGTACTGTGTGTAATTGTGAAATCTTCCCACAGATGCCTTTCTTGCAGCTCGACTGAAAGTCCTGACAGGCTCTAACCTAACAGACTTCAATAACCAGAAGATCTTTCTACAGCAGGTAAGTTAATACAGTTAATACAGTTTCCTGACTGAGCTTAAACTTTGCCATAAGCATTCAAAGTCATAATGCACTGTTACTTATCATTTCTCCTTTGCATGAGTGCCTTAAATCCTATTTTTCATTTATAAAAATATTTGTGAAACCTCTTGTTTTTCAGCTTCAGGATGAACTGAGGAGGAGAGGCGTTACATCCACTATAAAAGTGAAACGTGTTCAAAAGAAAAGTCCATGATTAGAAGATCCAGAAGAATCTCTGTGGGATAAATTCTCTAATTATATTTAGCTAATAAGTGATATGGTGGTGGTGTTTTGGTAGGTAACACCTGTATGTAACTTTAATATTAATGAATTTGCTAAAGAATTTTGAAACTTCCTTAAATGTCAAATTTAAATACATTAAACATAAATCTCTTTCGTCTAGGCAGAAATGGTGCAGGGTTGTAGAATTTTAGCCTGAGGTTTGTGATCCTTTTAGTAGTTTTCAACAAATAATTTTTTTTTCAATCTTAATAAACTTATTGGCTTCTGTGGTTACTAAACAAAACTGATTATCTAAAACATTATATATACATTGACATCCAGTTTATTTCAAAATAAACTAAATGTTTATTCTAGTCAACAGCAAAAGTTGGGAAAATGTAACTCTTGATGGAATGTTCCACTTATCACTGTGTATAACAGCTCCACTGAAAACAACAGAATATCAGGTTTGACATTGTCCATCTACTGCCAAGATGTAAACGCAGCATCTGATGGTCCTACTTAATTTGATGACTTTCTTGCTGATAGTTGCAAGTTGTCTTGTGTTTCTAACTGTGTCCATGTGAAACAAGATACTAATTTGTTTAATTTATTATGCTGGGGTGATCTTGGGTTTGAGTTTTTATACTATTACTATAGAGTCTATAGAGCAAATACATAATGTTTTATTAAGTTTGGCATTCTTTTTTCTTAAATTGGTTAATTAAATTCTGTACATCAATGCTTTCCAATACTGTCCCTGGAGACTCCCTACTCTGTACACAAAAATAGCACATTCCCAAACACTTCATAAGGTCAAAGTAATCATTTTTGAGCAGAAAAACTCTAAATATGCAGGGTGGGAGAATTCCCTGAGCAGCATTGGGAAACATTATTGGAGACTTTGACTCCACACAGGCTTGTATTGGGTCTAAGATGTGAATTTACAGCAAGCGTTATAATTTTTTGTTTTTTAGAATGTATCACCTGCGGTGGTTTCCTCACATTGAACTCTCTATGTTCTTTTCCATCACCAGATGGTAATAATAGGGTAATAGATACTTTAAATAAAACTTTACCAAAATAACTCACAGTCCAGGATTCTGTTGTTTCCTGTACAAACATGGCACAATATAGCATTCCTGTTGGATTATTGTTGTCCTGCAAGAGCCTCCATGTGGGCTAACACTTCAGTTTCTCTCTGTCATATCTACAATACATAGAGATTGGTTTCATAGCAGCTACTGAGTAAGTCATACCAAAGTTGGGACGCTTTGCAAAATATAAAGAAAAACAAAATGCAATTATGTGAAAATCACTTAAACCCTATATTTGATCGAAAATAGTACAAAGACAACATATCAAATGTAAAAATTTAGAAATCTTACTGTTTTCTGAAAAATATATACCCATGTTGAATTTGATGCCAGCAACATGTTTCTAAAAAAACAAGTCAGTAACATGATTGGGTACAAAAAGAGCATCCCAGAGATTTAGAAGTTAAGACTGGTGAGGGGTTCACCACTCTATGAAAGACTGTGGGAGCAAATTCAAGAATAATGTTTTTCAATGTAAAATAGCAAAGAACTTGGGGATTTCATCATCTACGGTACATAGTATCATTAAAAGATTCAGTGAATGTGGAGAAATCTCTGCATGCAAGGGACAAATCTGAAAACCAATACTAGATGACTGTGATCTTCAGGTCCTCATGCTGCACTGCATTTAAGACAGACATGATTCTGTAGTGGAAATCACTGCAAGGGCTCATCAGCACTTCTGAAAACCACTGTCTGTGAACACAGTTTATATATATGTATATGTATATGTGTATATATATACACATATATCCTCTTCTCTCTGCATCCTTTATATATATATAAAGGATGCAGAAACACCACCGTCTTCTCTGGGACCAAACTCATTTAAGATGGACTGAGGCAAACTGGAAATTTGAAATTCTTTTTGGAAATCATGGACACCACGTCCTCAGGGGTAATGAGGAGAGGGAACATCTGGCTTGTTATCAGTGTACAGTTTAAAGGCCAGTATCCATGATGGTATGGGGGTGCATTAGTGCACATGGCATGTGTAAGGAACCATTCATGCTGAATGATATATACAGCTTTTGGCGCAACATTAGTTGTTCTCCAGGTGACATCTTTTTCAGAGAAGGCCTTGCATATAGATAGATAGATAGATAGATAGATAGATAGATGAATAGATAAATAGATAGACAGATACTTTATTGATCCGAAGGAAATTTAGCAGCCAGTAGCAGTCACACAAAACAGGACAGTTCTAATAAGAAGGGTAAGACAACATAAAAAGAAGAATATATACAAAAAAACCTATCCACAGACGTATATGCAACTAGAAATATACAACAATATACAATAAGATCCATCCTAAAATAAAAAAGGCAGTGCAATAATGAATGTACAAGGAAGCGCAGGTAACAGCATATAATGACAATACTGAATAAATATGTGCATATACTGATGCTGAAATAAAGTGTCTAGGTGTGGAGGAGTGTCCAGATGTGCAAGATGTGCGATAAGGTGTGCAGAAGTGCAATATGTACAGTAAGGTGTCCATATGTGCAGATAGATAAAATAAACCCAGGATTTAACACGCAAGATTCAGTTCTCATCTATCCTCTTCCTTCTTCTCTCTTCTCTTCTGACCCCACTGGGAAAAGTTGAAAAGACTAAGGGCTCTAGGAACAAAGGATCTGAGTCTGTCGGCTGAGCAGCTCTGTGACAGCAACCTGCCACTAAACTTGCTTCTCTTGTCCATGATGATGGTGTGCAGTGGGTGGCCATCATCATCCATAACGGAGAGCAGGTTGTGCAGTGTCCTTCTCTCAGCCACCTTAACCACAGAGTCCAGTTCTATGCCAGCCACTGACACCGCTCCCCTGACCAGCTTGTGCAGTCGCATCTTGTCTCTCTTTTTTATGCTTCCTCCCCAGCGCACCACAGCATAAAAAAGACAGCTAGCAACCACGGTCTGATAGAACATCTGCAGGAGCTTCCTACAGATGTTAAAGGACTTGGGTACTGGAATAAGACATGATTCCACACTGTCTTTCACAGTGTGGGAATCCTCCCCAAGTGTAGACTCCAGTTGAAAATGTGCTGTAGGGGTATCCCCATCTCAGTGGCACAGGACTTTAGTAGTCTAGGACACACTTTGTCCGGTCCAGCTGCCTTCCTTATGTGGAGTTTCCTCAGCTCACATCTAACCTGATTTGCAGTGAAGATGTGCAGAGGGGGAGAACAGGGGACTGCAGCGGTGCTGCAGATCAGATCTGATGAGTTAATATGTGAAAGGAGCTGAGAAGAGGGAGGGTGTGGAGGTGACCGCTGGACATACAGCCTCTCGCAAGTGGACTTCCCTCTGGGGACCCAGCAGCACTCCTCTGGTCCATATCCCTCCCAATCCACCAAGTACTGGGTATCATTCTGCACTCAATGAGAGTCCAGCAGCCATCAGACAATGTAAGCTGGGGACCTGGCAATCGCACATGGCGGCAGAGGGGCGCGGGCCAGCACCAGGGGACTACAGAGGACTGACTTGAAGCAAGAGGCAAGAAGAGGGGACCTCTACTTCGGATTCCTGCTCTGGGAACATGGGTGGAGGGTATCCAAATTGACACTCAAAGGCCAACATGCCCAGAGAGGAATGCCACAAGGTGTTATGGGCATAATCCACCCACAGCAGATAATCAGACCATGTGGATGGCCTAGACATGCCAGGCACCTGAGTGTCCATTCAAGTTCCTGATTTATCCTCTCAGTCTGTCCATGAGACTTACGGTAAAAGCCTGAGGATAAACTCACCAAGATGCTTGGCCTTTTGAATGTAGGCCAAGTTCTTGTGATCCATTCAGACCATGAAAGGATGTTTTGCTTCCTCCAGCCAGTGCCTCCATTCCTCCAGGGCCAGTTTCACAACTAGCAACACTCATTCCCTGATATCGCAGTTTCGTTCAGCGGGGGGGTGGGTGAGGTGGTGGGAAAAGAAGGTGCAGTGATGGAGCTTGTGGTCATCCTCAGAATGCTGGGATAGGACTGCCCCTACGCCGACATCTGATGCATCAATCTCTACATCAAATGGTAGTGTAGGGTCCGGAAACAGACCGGAACAGAGGCCAATCGACAATTAAGCTCTTCAAATGCTTTCTGGGCTTCCAAAGTCCACTAACACCTTCCTGGGCCCATGCTCAGTCAACACTTTAACACCATCAACTTGAAAAAGTTGACCAACTGAGCATGAAAGATGAATTTCTCCATCTTCTTATAAAGATCCCGGCAAACATGGACAATGTGCTTGTCCATTGAGTGACTGTATATGAGAATGTTGTCAAGGTATGTGAAGACGTAATTATTCAGGGTCTCTCACAGGACCTTGTTTATGAAACGCTGGAAGACAGCTGTTGCATTCATTAGCCCAAAGGGCATCTCAATGTACATATAATGGCCCGACGGGGTAATGAATGCTGTCTTCCATTCGTCGCCCTGGTGCACCCTAATGAGGTTGTAGGCACTGCGCAAGTCCAGTTTAGTAAAAACTGATGCCTGCTGCAGTGCTTCAAAAGCTGAAGACATCAACTGCAAGGGATAATGGTCCTTGATGGTGATTTTATTGAGTTCCAGTAGTCAATGCAAGGATGGAGACCATGATCCTTTCTCTCTACAAAGAAATATCTGGCTTCAGCTAATGAGGTGGATGGCTTGGTGAAACCCAGTGCCAGGGCCGCCATGATGTACTCATCCATAGCCACTGTCTTGGGACCTGAGAGAGAAAGCAGTCTACCTTGGGGAGGGGTGGTGCCTGGGAGAAGGTCAATTGCACAGTCATATTGCAGCCAGAGGAACCCTTTCCTGCAATGAACCCTGGGCACAAATTCCCATTCTCTATGGTGCTCTTATAGTCACTTAACCAACTTTAGTGCCTGGTCGTAATCTCTTCTAGTGAGTCCAGAATGTCTTGGGTAGCCAGCTCATCCTTGACCTCACTTCTGAGGCCCTGTTGGAAGGCAGCCATTAATGCCTCTGCATTCCAACCACTCTCTGCAGCCAGAATGTGAAACTCAATGGCATAATCCACCACTGAATGCTTGTCCTGCTTTAATCGGAGGAGATGAGAACCAGCCACTTCTCTACAGACTGGATGTTCAAATGTATGGCACATTGTGGATTTTGTGAACAGTTCTCAGTAGGAGCATGTGGTGGCCTCATTCTCCCAAACAGGGGTGGCCCAGGCCAGGGCTTGGTCCATAAGC